TCTGTTAGTACAGTTGGATCTCAGTAGGGTAGTGTTGCTGCTTTGCTCTTTTACTCTTTTTCACTCTTTGGGGCACCCCCCACCCAGCTCCCCAATAAATATACTCACTGACTCTTACTTATAAATGCCCAGTCTTAGCTTGGTTTATTTCTAGTTAGCGTTCCGTAGCTTAAATTATCCCACCTACCTTTTGCCTCTGGGTTTTTGTCTCTATTCTATGTTCCTTTCTTCACTTCTTACTTCAAGGCTTACTGTGTAGCTGGGTGGCTGGTCCCTTCTTTTCTCACTTTTAGAACTTTTTCTCCCTCTGTATATTTTCTTTACCTGTCAGCCCTGCCTGTCCTCTCTGCTGCCCAGCTATCGGGCGTTCAGCTCTTTATTAGACCAATCAGGCATTTTAAATAACACAGATTCATAGACTTGCTAAACAAAAAAGACTGCAGGGCTGGAGAGATGTCTCAGAGGTTAAGAGCACTGACTGCTCTTCCAGAGGTCCTGAGTTCAATTCCCAGCAACCATCTGTAATGAGGTCTGGTGCCCTCTTCTGGCATGCAAGCATACATGGAAGGAATGTTGTGTACATAATATATAAATAAATATTTAAAAAATAAAAAATAAAAAAAATTGCAACACATCTTTGCATCATTAAGCAAATGTTTTACAGAATAAACAAATGTAACACATCTTCAACTAATATTCTATAATAGGGAATGACAGACCTGTGAAGCTCCGAGCATGAACCAGAAAGCACTAGGTAGAAATGTGTCATGTGAGCCAGAGAGGCCTTGTGTCTATCCTGCACCTGAACCCGCCATGAGGAAGGACTGAGGTTGGATGACTTCCTGCCAAACCATTCTTGCATTGATCCAGCATGGCATTTCCATTGTTCTTCAGTGACTCAAACAGACCAACCACCTCTCAGTGCACTGACAGAGCTGTGTAGTGTGGGGAAAGTTCAGTGATTGGTGGCTGAGCAGTTCCAAGGGCTATGGAAGGGGGTTGAGGCAGGTGTGAGGTGAGTCTTCCTGGAGTTACTTACCTCTGAACTGAGTCCTCCAAAAAAAAAAAAAAAAAAAAAGTCAACAGAGTGTAGGGCAGTGATGAGAGCTCCTTTGTACCAGGAACAGGCTGAGTAAAGGCCCTGTGGTAAGAGGGAGCAAGATCACTGGCCAGAGTTCATAGGGCATAAGGGTTAGAGAAGGGTTGTGGGGTGGGTGTGGAGGAAGGAGTCAGACAGACAAGAGGTCAAACTGGGTAAATCATTGTAGGATCTGGATCTTTTTAAACAAGGTACTGAGAAGCCACTAACAGGTTTCAAATTACTAGAGACAGTATCTGGCTGTTGCTTTCAGCCATTCATTCAGGGTACAACCAAAAGCAGGGGTCTCAGAGGCTGAGCTCATCCGTAGGACCCTTTGAAGAAATGGCCAAGCCAAGGGTAACATAGGGGCTGTGTTTAACTTTCCTCACAGTAGTAAACGCCATTGTAAGGAAAGGACTGCAGGATAAAAGAATTGTCCTAGCTTTCAATGGTGAGGGTTCGGTTCCTGGTTATTTGATGCCCTTGCTTTGTGGTCTGTGGCAAGGCAGTGAATGGCATATATGACAGAGAAAACAACATACCTCATGGTGGCCACATGGAAAGATGTGCCAGGCTCCCAAAATGCCCTTCAAGGTCCTGCCCTCAATGACCCAACTTCCCACTTGTAGGATGTGCCTCCTTAGGGTCCACAGCCTCGTATCAATTACCACTCCACTGAGTGTCTTTAGTCTACAGAACCTTGAGACAGATTTAGGTTGTAAATGTAACAGGGTCCATGTAATTCTTATTTTCTTCAGGTAAAATGTGTGTGTGGTGGGGCACAACACACATCGTGCATGCTTGACGTTCATAGGACAATCTCCAATGTTGCTTGGTCCTTATGTGTCCTTTGTTTGAAAAGGACCTGTTCTTGTTCACTGGTATGTATGCCAGGCTCTTAGGTCTGGGATCACCTGGGAGTCTCCTATCTTTAGCTCTACTTTCTCCAGAGGAGTCCTGAGCTCATGGAGGTGCGGTGCTATACCTGACTCCTCATGGGTTCTGGGATTCAAATTCAGGTCTGCATGTGGCTACTGCCAGGGCTTTATTGGTTGAGCCATTTCCCCAGACCAGGAAGGTTGGTCTTTAACTCTCCTCTTTCACTCGCAAGACTGAATAAAAAAAGTGACTTTTTCAAATTTTAGAAAAACTGAATAGTCTTGGCAGTAGCAAAGATTGATAGAGTTATGGAGATTCCAGCTTCTGCCCCCCCCCATTTAGTCATTCTAGACCATACCATCTAAGAATAATTGTCTGACTGTGTGCTTCCCCTCCTGTGACATCACACTACCTAGAGATAACTGTCTGACTGTATGCTTCCCCTCCTGTGACATCACACTACCTAGAGATAAATGTCTGACTGTATGCTTGCCCTCCTGTGACATCACACTACCTAGAGATAACTGTCTGACTGTATGCTTGCCCTCCTGTGACATCACACTACCTAGAGATAACTGTCTGACTGTATGCTTGCCCTCCTGTGACATCACACTACCTAGAGATAACTGTCTGACTGTATGCTTGCCCTCCTGTGACATCACACTACCTAGAGATAACTGTCTGACTGTGTGCTTCCCCTCCTGTGACATCACACTACCTAGAGATAACTGTCTGACTGTATGCTTGCCCTCCTGTGACATCTCACTACCTAGAGATAACTGTCTGACTGTGTGTTTGCCATCCTGTGACATCACACTGCCTAGAGATAAATGTCTGACTGTGTGTTTACCCCCCTGCGACATCACACTACCTAGAGATAAATGTCTGACTGTGTGCTTGCCCTCCTGTGACATCACACTACCTAGAGATAAATGTCTGACTGTGTGCTTGCCCTCCTGTGACATCACACTGCCTAGAGATAACTGTCTGACTGTATGCTTGCCATCCTGTGACATCACACTACCTAGAGATAACTGTCTGACTGTGTGTTTGCCATCCTGTGACATCACACTGCCTAGAGATAAATGTCTGACTGTGTGTTTACCCCCCTGCGACATCACACTACCTAGAGATAAATGTCTGACTGTGTGCTTGCCCTCCTGTGACATCACACTACCTAGAGATAAATGTCTGACTGTGTGTTTGCCATCCTGTGACATGACTACACCTAGAGATAAATGTCTGACTGTGTGTTTACCCCCCTGCGACATCACACTACCTAGAGATAAATGTCTGACTGTGTGCTTGTCCTCCTGTGACATCACCACACTGCAGAACTGTTTGACTTACTCTCCAGAGAACTTCATTCTACTGAGACTTTTTATTTTTTTTTAACAATCCCTAAGATATCCTTTATTGTTTTATCTGGTAAATAACCTATAATTGCTAGTTAACTCGTATTGGGGTGGAGGGTGATGTGGAACCACTTTTGGCAAGGTCAGGCCTGGATGTGGATTCCATCTAGATCTTTAGTGAAAAGCTAGTGTCTAGTACAGTCTGCCAGCAATTCTTCCCCAGGAAAATAGATACAGTTTCGCCTTCCCTCCCAGCTTTGGGATGTGTGATAACCAAAAGTTCAAGCGAAAGCACTTTCTCCCGAGAAGCACACAATTCAGGAAGGGAAGCATACCACTTTGCAAAGTCCTTTCTTAGAAAGGTGGGGGACAACATCGCTATACAAACTCCCAGCAATGAGGAAAAGGGGTTGAGCTCTGGATGTTTCAGTGAATCTTCAAAAGAAAACAGATACATCTTCACAAGGAGTTGAACTTTGCGTCTGAAAAACCGATACTTGAGAACACATTAACAGAAGGCGTCTGTGTCAACCCTGCGGTCTTTCCAGGCCGGCCTGGACCGGCCCCAGCCTTTCCAAGGCTCAAAGGTTTCCTGCTTGCTGCTTGCTGCTCAGGTGGTCAGTCTTTCCAGATAGCCTCTGTGGACTGAAGTCTCACAGATCCTTTTAGAGCTTTGAAACAAACACGCTGTCTGTGTCAGACTGAAGGGTGTGTGGGAGCAGGAGCCATAAAGAAAAGATAAGGATTTTATTTCACAAATTTAGGGGAAATCGTGTGTGTTAATTGGGAGGCAGCTGGTTTGCTTTCTGTTCCTTTCAGTTTCTCACCGTGGGATCTCAGGCAGGGCACCTGGCAAGGCCCCTGCAGAAGTTTGGGATCCGGAGAAGGGCCAGTTGGCTCTGGGAGAATCCCGCTCTTCCCTGGGCTTTCCAAACCGCAGTCCGTCCTGTAATTATCCGAACAAGTCCATTTAAGCTAGGCAAATCACTGGTTTTCCACGAAATAGTTATGTTTCTGATGCCCACGGACAGATTCACCTCGAAGCCTAAAAACAGAGATTGTTTCCTACCCCCCCCCCCCCCAGCCACCAAAGCTGGGGGAGGGAAGAAAAGTGGAGTCCATACTGTTACAATGAGTGGAAAAGAGGAAAGACAAGGGTTCCGGGGGAGCGTGGGAACGCTGAGTTCCGATCTGGGAGTTTTGATGCGCAGAGAACAAGCTGTGTTCTCAATGTGCTTTTCTTCCGAGGGGTGCGAATCACAGCTCTTCTCATCTTTCTGAGGACCCGAGTGGCTCGGCTATGTGAGTCGGTCTCTGCAGCGCCTGACAGTGGCAAAGGCTCCCCAGTTCCGCCGCTCCCAACGTAGCCTCCCTGCCTGAGCCTGCGGCGCCTCCTCGCGTGCCAGCGCCCCGGGGTGTCTCCTTGCAGGAGCCTACCGGAGGAGGGGGCAGGGCGCGACGCGTGGGTCGCGTCGGTCCCAGCCCTGATGGACGGCCGACGCTGCCTCCGGGGCGGGGACAGCTCAGGCCACCGTGCGCACCGCGCACCCATTGCACCCACAGCTCTTGGGCTCCCGGTGGTAGCGGGTCTTGGCCCGTGGAGTCGGCTAGAGAGCTGCGCGACCGAGGTCCCAGCGTCGCCCGCGGGCTGCGGCAGGTGCTTGTCGCACCGGGTCCCCGCGTCCTCCCGCCCCGCCGCCCGGGCGCCGCGCCCGCCCCGCCCCCGTCCCCGCCCGCCCGCGGGCCGCCCCGGGCAGGGCCTACAGCTGCCGGGCATGGGAGGGCGACCGGCGGCGGAGGGTGGCTGAGCGCGGCCGAGGGACCGCGCGGTGGCCTCCTGTCGCTGCGCGTTCCACTCCCGGCCGCTCGCAGTTCACAGCCAAGAACGAGCTGGCTGGCTACAGGGACCCGGCCCGGTGGCAGCAGTGGCGTGGTACTCTCTCGCTGTCCCGTTGAGTTAGTGGCGCTGTCCCCGCGCGATGCGCTAAGGGCACCCAGATCCCTATACCAGCGTCTCTGCTGCGCCCCGAGTCGCCGACCCCATGGGACCCACGGGCACCATGCGCAGCGTGCGGGCGCCACCGTCTCAGCTGCTGCTGCTGCTGCTGCTACTCTTTCTGCAGGTGGCAGTGCCGGCGGGAGCGCTGGCTGAGACCCTGTTGGACGCACCCGGGGCCAGGGGTGCCAGCTCCAACCCGCCAAGCCCAGCCAACGTGGTGGCCCCGGGAACGACACCGTTCGAGGAAAGTCGGTTGCCTGTGTTCACCCTGGATTACCCCCACGTGCAAATCCCTTTTGAGATCACTCTGTGGATCCTACTGGCTTCCTTGGCCAAGATTGGTAAGCGAGCTGTACCCGTGGGTGGGGGCGGGGACGATCGTGCTGGGGCTCCTGGTGGGTAACCAGCCAAGTAGGCAAGTAGTTGGTTTCAGATAGTGGCCACCTCCTGCACAGAGGCAGCCTTGAACAGAGATTAGGTTCTTTCTGTAGGTTGAAAGGTCTCCTGTTCTTAATTTAACACTGGCCTTGGAAAGCCTGGGGAAGACAGGCCCATAGCATAGGGACTCACTGCTGACTTCTGCTTGGAACTTCATGTTTGACAGCTCAGTGCCAAAGTTGAGGGACGTCTGTGTGCTGAGGGAGTCAGTGGACAGGGTGAATCGGATATCGTCTGCAAGAAGAGAAGAGGAGGGAGCTAGCACTGGGCAAAATGTTGGATGGGAGAGGGCGCCTGGACCAGATACAAACCCTCCCCATGTCCCTGATGAGATGGTGGGCACTTGAGTGCATACAGCTGCAATACCTTCTCTCTGTACCTGTCACTGTCTAGAAAGCCTTTCCTTTCGAGGTAACTGAAGTCAGTGAGATCAGATATTCACAAATCATTAACCCATTTGTCCCACCATCCCCAGTTCTTAAGTTGAAAGTGAAAAACCTCATCACCCGTTTACTCATCCCTCTTCCCCTGCCCACTTCATCCTTCTCAATGCTCGCTCACAGTTTTACTCTGTGTTCAAGTGTGTTAGCTATTGCTGCCCTGTTCAAAAATTATAAGGTTTAAAGAGCATAGTGTTTCCTATGTTTTAGGCATTTGTCTTGCGGGATGCAGCGTTTCATAGGTCCCAGTCAGTTTGGGGAACTCATTAATAAGTGAGAAGAAGCCCCAGTGGTTACAACACAGGAAATGCTCCACGGGCAGAGAGGTATAGCAAATCCAGTATGGCCATGAACAGATGCAGGGATCACATCCTGGCCAGACCTATACAGACTGTGTTTTCAAGGATGACCAGAGTCTGGTCAGTGGGAGCTGTTCACCAGAAACAGCAGCCCAGAGAGAAAGTGTTAAGGGAGAAGGGATGGTTGATTACCATATGGGATTTGCAAGCTAAGCCTGGAATCGACTTCCCAGGTTAGATTAAATCCCTTAGCAGCTTATTGTGGTGGTAAGCAAAGGTGTCCTGGTGTCCTGTACTAGAGGTAATGACGTTGCAGTCTGGAATTGCTGGCTCCAGCATGATTCGCTGCCTGAATGTTTTAACTCCATCTGAGCTATGGTCGAAGGAACGTGGACTCACCTACCAAGCAAACAGTCACATAAGCTCCTGGCCTCTAATAATAGCCAGAGATGTGGTCTCTTCACATATCCCTCACAGCATCCCTGCCCTGTACAGGGTGTGAACACTCTCACCCGAGAGAGGCGGAAACCAAAGCCGGAAAGTTCACACTATGAACCACAAAGTCGGACGTAACCCCATGTAGGCAGGTGGATTGCCTCGGGGCCCCTCCCTCTGCCTGAGTCAGAGCCTCTGGAGGGGTGCGTTCGTACCCTCTTCCATTACTGCTTTTCTCCTCTGACACCCTCTTCTGTTCTTCACTCCTGATTATTTTAATCAGATTAATTACACTAATAACAGCCGCTAGTGGGCACTTAAGTTCATTATCCCTCATTTTCGCAGCCTTCATCCTGGGTAGATATGATGGCCCTGCTTTGGAGAGGAAGGGAGCCTTGCTGATGGGTGGAGAGACCATGTTCCAGCCAGGAGGGCCTGGTGTCTCATCTTCAGATCCTCCCTGGAGGCTTGCTCGGGTGTTGGTCCATTCTTCCTGGGACAGTGAGGCGGGCATACAGGTGGTGACAGTGAGTGGCATCCTGAGAGAAGCGGCAGCATCTGGGCTGTTCCTGGCCCTTCAGTTGCTTTTCCGTTGTCTTCTGCTGCCGCCCTGCTTCTGGCCTTTTGTCATAACCCCAGAACGCATGTTCTCTCGGGTGGCCTGTAGGTGCTTTCTCCTCCCCAGCTGTGCTATTCTACTCATCTTAATGGACATCATCATCTTAACCGTGTGGTATTTGGTGAAAAAGTATCTGCGCTTGTGTGAGTCAAAGTTCGAAGGTACCTTTATGCGTCTGTTAAGCATGTTCTTGCTCAGCGGATGGAATTCCCCTTCTCTTTCAGGTGCCACTATTCCTGCCTTCACAGAGCTGGCTTTGACCACCCTCGTTATATATCGCCCTTGTCTTCTCCCCATCCATCTGCCTGTCTTGAACTCTGTTCTTCTCTGGCCACTGGGGTCATCCACACAGTGGGTGGGTGACAACACAGGTATTCTTGTCTCCTCCCCAGAGAGACGTCCGAGTAGCCAGGTGCTGACCCTGGAGTAAAGCGAGAGAAATCGGACTCAGGACAGGAAGTGGGCTTTTGAGTTATAAAAGCTGTTGATTAGATTCGTTCTCTACGTTCTTCCTATTTTATAACCCAGCCCTCTCTCGTCTCTTTGGCTGCTTCTGGAGGGATGCACAAATACCCAGATGAACTCAAGTCTCCCTCCCCATTACTCCCAAGTCTTTCTCCAGAATCCCTCCCCTAGACTCTTAACTCTCTTTGACTTTAAGACTGCTCTGGTACTGCAGAATACTTTCACAGGCTGGGAAAAGGAGTTCCAAAACAGAAACTGTGGAGTTTAAATGTTTACACCTTATGTATTGAATACACGTCATAATTTATCTATCCTCCAAACCAAAATATGCCTGCATAACTGAGCTAGAAAGACAGTGGCTTTTTCGCAGCTTCGCAGTTTCAAATGTCAATTCTAACTGCATATAAATTAATTAAGTTTGGGTTTGGTTAATGTTAGTATGCGATGGTTTAATTTATTAGCAGTTTTTTTAAAATAATAAAGTTTATTTAAAATAGAAGAGGCTCTGCTTTAGCTTTTGTGTTTGAAAAACATCTGTCTGCGCACATGTTGTGGTGGGGAGAGGGGGCATAACTTACATGGCCTGAGTTGCTCATATTTGAGAAAGATGTTGACTCCAGCGCACACGGGGATATGAGGGTACGAGGCAACACAAATGCCAACTCATATAGAAACTTGTACTTCCCGCCTGTTCTACGTGACAATACGGTACTACTCCTGTATTGTGGTGCCTGCACTACAGGACCATCCGCGAGCCAGGCAAGGGCCTGGAGATTTAAATACACAAAGACACACAGACAGAGACACGGGTCATCCTTGAAACAGGAATGCCCTTTTTATTGTGTCCAGGGGCAGCTTCTATAGGGATCCTTAACTGATAGCCACACCCCCAGCCAAACCCACCAGAAACCACTCTCCTTCCATCAGGAACTCCTGAGGGTCTCATGCTCAGAGCAACTGCAAGCATAAGACATTGTTTACAAGAAATTCAGGATCTGGGGGTTCACAGCTCCCAACAGAAACTGGGGTTTCTGTTTGAAGCATTTCCGTGCAAGTCCCTGGTGTGCCAGAACTTACCTGCTACAGAGAACAGGGAGAACCATTACCAGTGATCAATCTAAACAAAGATAAACAGGTTGCTCTCTCATCGGGATTTCCAAGTACTCTCAGAAGTCAGAAAGTACTCTCGTTGGCTTTGGCTTTTTTTTTTTTTTTTTTTTTTTTTTTGTAAAAAGTGTAATTCAACTTATCTTCTCATTGCTTTGTTTGGTTATTAGGGGAAAAACATCAACTTCCTCACTGTTTGGCTAAGGATATAGTTCTAAAATTTCCTCCAAGCTTCATGCTAAATCCAATGATGCCGCGTATATGCGAAGCAGCTTAACAGAGGGAATGAAAGAGCACAGTGGGTTTAGCCCAACCAGGGATGAAGTGCTTCCTTGCCTTTTCTCCAGGTCCTCGCGTGTGCACATTCTTATCAGCGTCGCTGTGCCTATCATTCTGGAAATACATTGATTTTTTTTTTTCTCTGTGCAGTAAAACCCCCACGCTGTGCCTGCTGAATCTTGTAGGCAGGGCTAGAGCTCTAGGCTGGCGATATGAGGAAGAAGCCAAACACGGTTTCTTGGTGTGCTTTCCAGCTGTCTAATTAGCTCTCTCTCCTCATGAGCTAGGCCATTGGGGGCTGTGCTTGCTCTAACTTGAGTGAACATGGCTGTATGATCTACTTAAGCTTGTGGTTTCAGGACACAGCACCAGGTCTCATCCTTACATCTTTTTTTTTTCTGGGATTCCCTGTGTGCCCCTTTACAGCAGAGGGGTCTTGCAGGGGTTGCAGGTCTTCTTGCTTTTCCTACCTGATCCCTTGTTATCTTTGCCTTTCTTATTTTCTTGGCCCTAACAACTTGGGCTTAGGGACAGTGTTTTCTACTTCTCTTCACCCTATTACTTGGGGAAAAGAGTTATTATTATTATCACTACTATTGTTGTTATTATTATTACTATTTTGAGGGAAAGGCAAAACATTTGGCCAATGAAGGTGTCTGTTCTGGGTTCCAGGCTACCATGAGTTTAAAAAAAGGAGATTCAAAAGTTGTGTAGCTTTCTGAGTTACAGAGATTTTTATCTCTGAAAAGATAGGTCTCCCTGCACTTGCCTTATTCTTAGTCTAGTTTGTCTGAAGCTTATGCACCATCTGGGGGTGGCTGGGGTGAATTTCGTGGTCTTTGCATCTCAGGTTGTGCATACCGTGTGTCTGCTGGCAGGTGCTCTGACCTAATAAAGCCAGAAGAAGGGTTCAGCCTCCTCTCTCATGGAAGCACCATCTATGGTCAAGGTTGCCCATATGGTTTAGGTCTGAAAAGGGAATGCGGCAACCTTTTCATTTCTTTCTGAAGACTAATGCAGGCACCATCAAGAATGGTATCAGGACGGCATAGCCACACTGTTTATTTTGAAAATAACTACAGTTTTTTGCTTGTTTGTTTGTTTTTGCCAATTGAAAAATCTTATTCTTGCTCAACTTTAACAAGGATAACTTTATTTACCATTAGTGGGGCACTTAGTTCTTGTGAAGCCCCAAGAAGCATAACCATGCGTGTACACACACACACACACACACACACACACTCACTCACGCACACGTT